CGCTCTTCCCCAGGGTATTGATGTCGCTTACCCCTCACTTCCTGCAGGTCTTTGCTCCAATGTCACCTGCTCAGAGAGCCTTCCCTGGCCACCTCATCACCCTGCTCCCACCCCCAACGCCGGGACCCTGCTCTTTCTTCCTGGCCCCATCGCCACTAGATGTTTCGCACCTCCAGCACCTCCATTCCGCTCCTTGCTGCCTTCCTCGCCAGAGTGGGACTCCTTCAGGGCAGGGAACCCTTCCATCGGTTTTGTTCCCTGCTTCATCCCCAGTCTGGACCCAGCAGCGCTGAGCACCTGGTGGCTGAATGCAGCTCAGCAGCTGCCCCTCGGAGAGGGGACAGGCTTCAGTCCCCACCACGCCCCATTCCTCACACCAGGGCCGACTTCCTCGTGGGCACCTGGCTTTATGACAGCAGTGGTGCCCTTACGAGGGCTCCCCACAGCCCAGGGACTCTACTCACTGCTTTGTGTGGAACACTGAGATCAGTCAATGTAAAAGTGGATCAGCCAGACTCGCCTCCGGAGCTGGGGATCCCGGACTGGACCAGCGATGCTCTGGTACCAGGCGCTGCTGTAGCTGTGGCAATCATGACACCACCCCCCGCGCCCCCGCCGCCATTCTACTGACGAGGCCCTGAGGCTCTGCTTGTTCATATGTCATGGGGGCTGGGTTTGAAACCAGGGCCCTCTGCTGCCACACCTGATGTTCCAGACCACAAGGCGAGGCTGCCTCCGTTGACAAAACCATTTATCTTTTACTCTGATGCTTCACTCGCCTGTGTCATTTTCCCTGATGGCAAAATCCTTTTCCAAAGCAGGTGGCCCAGGTATCTTATCCCTGGGGTTCTACTGGAGAAATGAACAACCAGCACTGCAGGGGCACCCACCACAGGCCCCTCCACGCCAGGCATCACCCTGCCAGGGATTACTTCCTGCAGCATGAGGAAGTCCGGGGTCCTGGGGGACACTTAGGAAGCTTGGAGTACTGGCATCCTACCAGGCCGCCACCACCACCTACCCAAATGGGAATGTTTCAGTGTTTTATCAATACGGAGCTGAATGTCAGCCCTGCTCACTCCCCTCCTTCAGGTGAGGGGACTGAGGCTCGGAGAGGGACAAAGCTACTCCAAGGTCACCCACTGATCTCTGATCAGAAACGCTTAGGTTGTGTGACCCCAGAGCCCATGTCCTGTGGGGTGCCGGGCTGGTGGGGGCGCGTGGGGAGGGCACGGGAGCACCTGTAGTCAAAGTCCCCATCCTTGCCGTCCAGGAAGTGTTGGTGCATCCGGCTGGTGAACTCTTCCCGCAGGATCAGCCTCTCTTCCGAGTCGGGGACCCAGGCCTCCATGCCTTTGCCAGGCCTCTGGTCTGTAGGGGGAGACACCCAGGGTGGGGTGTGTGAGGATTGTGCTGAACACACCTCCACAGAGAGCTGCATCCTTTGTGCTGGGTGGCACTGGGAACACAGCAGTGACCAAGATGGCCCCGTCCCTACCTTCCTGGGGCACACGATGAACACGTGACAACACAGTGCTCTAGAGGCCACAGAGCAGGGTTAGGACCTGACGCCTGAAGGGTGGCAAAGGGAAGGCACTCGTGGCAGAGGGAACGGCATGAGCAAAGGCCTGGAGGTGAGGGATTGCTTGGTGTCTTCGAGGAGCAGGGACAGGGATGCTGGAGAGGACGGGAAGGGCCAGGGCACTCAGGCCAGGTAGGGCAGGGCCATGATCTGCTCCCGCAGGCGGGCCCGGCCTAGTGCTGTGGAGCTGAGACACACCAGCCTGGAGCCGGGCTGTGCGACACCAGGGCCTCCCCACCGCCGGGCCTCACCTTCCTCGTCGCTGTCCTCCTCCTCCTCCTCCTCCTCCTCCAAGCAGGCCTCCTCCTCCTCCTGCTGCTGGAGCAGCCGCTGCTGCAGCTCCCGCTCCTGGTAGGACTGGAGCAGCAGGTCAGAGAGCGGGCAGGCGGGAGTGCCGGGGGGGCCGGGCTTGGGCGGCCGCTGGGCCGGGGTGCGGGTGCTGAGCTCCTCTAGGGTCAGGTACTGCCCGATGTACTGCTCATACAGCAGTGGGGCCCGAAAGCGCATCTGCTCGTCGCTGAAGTACTCGCCCTCTGCACGGAGGAGACAGGGTGGTCGTGGGGCAAGGGCCTGCGGGCCAGGCGAGGGGCTGGGCAGAGGGTGAGTGGGCCTGCGCAGACCTGTGTCCACCCAGGCGTGGGACTGCGCTGACAGGAAGCCGTAGACACACAAGTGTGAGTGTGGTCGTCCGCATTCAGCAATGTATACAAACACGCGCAGGTGCCTGAGGTCGTGACCATGAGAACTCATGCACGTGTCTAAGCACATGTGCGCGACCAGGCCTGTATCTACGTGTGGACTCATGTGTCCAAACATGTAGGGTACACAGTCAGGTTGCTGGACATCCTGGCCTGAGGCACTGCTGGCCTAGGGCCCGTGTACAACTGTGCCTGGGCAGGATTCATGTGTGTGTGTGTGTGTGTGTGTGTGTGTACACTGCTGTGGGTCCCTGCATCTGGGAGCTGGTGTGCAGGACGTTGCGGGCAGGTATACTGTGCATGGAAGCCAGTATGCAGACTGTGTGTGCCTGTCTGCTGAGCCCTGTTCTGGCTGTTGGTGCACACACCTGGAAACGCCTGCACTGCTGGGCACATTAGTGTACATCTTCATGGAGCAGACGTGTGTGTACACAGCGTCAGGTCTAGCAGGGCATCTGCCCAGGTGTGGGTGTCCCTGTTGGTCTTCCAGACCCCAGATCTCACCTTTCCCCAGAGCGTTCCTCTCTGCAACCACCCCTTCTGAGGGCCTGGTTTCCCCACTCCCCAAACCCAGGGCCTTCATACGTCTCCTGATGTCTCTTTCAGCATAGGCAGCCCTGTCCCTCTGATAACAGCTAAAGCCTGCCCAGCACCTCCCGCCGCTGGTCCTAGCCCTGCCCTCAGAGCCCAGGAATCCTGGGACCATCCCTGTCCTGCCCTCCATCTTGCCTTCTGTCTCTTACCCGCCTCTCTCTGTTCCCGATGTTCCCCACCACATTCTGCTTCTCTCCCTCCTCCTCCCTATCTTTCATTGTCTCTCTCTCTCTGGGTCTCAGTTTCTCCCTCCCCTCCTCTGCCCCTCTGTCTCCACCCATCTCTGTCTCTCTGGCTTTCTCAGTTTCTGTCACCTAATCCCACCTCTTTCATTCACTCATCCTCCCTCCTCTCTTCATCCCTGCTCCTCATCGGTCACTGTGTTCCACTCTCTCCGGATCCCTTTCTCTACAGCCTGTGTCTTCTCCCTAACTAGAATCTTAACTCACTCTCTCCTTCATTTGCTCTCATCTTTTTTTTTTTTTTTTTTTTTTGCGGTGCGCGGGCCTCTCACTGTTGTGGCCTCTCCCGTTGCGGAGCACAGGCTCCGGACGCACAGGCTCAGCGGCCATGGCTCACGGGCCCAGCCGCTCCGCAGCATGTGCGATCTTCCCGGACCGGGGCATGAACCCGTGTCCCCTGCATCGGCAGGCGGACTCTCAACCACTGCGCCACCAGGGAAGCCCCTGCTCTCATCTTTTAACTTTAGTTCTGGTGTCTTTGGTCACAAAGCTGCTTGTAACTACATCATGGTCAAAAAGGTACCAATCTTACAAAAATAATAAATAAACAAAAAAGAGAAATGTACCAATGTTTTCCTTCATGCTTTTCACATGTGTTTTTTTTTCAAGAGGCCTTTGCCTCTCCTGGGTCATGAACATACTCCCCTAGGTTTCTGTCAATGCCTCTGTGTACAGTGTGAGGTAGGGATCTAGTTTCCGAGGGGTAACCAGTTCTCACAGTGCTGGATACTGTGTGTCCTCGGCCTGCTGGTCTGAAATGGCACTTCTGTTATCTACTAAATTCTGACCCTTCTCACTGCCTGTCCCATTCTCTTCCCTTGGGTCCCTGTTTGTCTCTCCGTATCTCACCCTGTCACCTCACATTTCTGTCTCCATCTCTCCCCAGGTCCCTGTCTTAAAACTTATCTCCCAGGATCTCTGTCTGCGTTTCTGTTCCTGCATCCCTGTTTCTTACTTCCTCTGCTTCAGCCTACCCTCCCACCCAACCTGTCCGCCCCCACACCTTGGATGAGCTCACGCAGGGCAGCGTAGCGGCGGTTACGCAGGCGGGTGCGCAAGGTGCGGGGTCGGGTGCTGCCTTGCCGGGCCACTTCGGCGCAGTAGAAGTCCGCGCGGTGGTCACCACGCAAGTGGCCAAAGCAGGCCAGGTGCTCCTCCCGGAGGCCCGTGCGGAAGCGCTCCAGGAACACCAGTGGCTTCTCATGGTACAGCTGGCCCAGGATGGCCACCTTCTCCTGCTCGGTCAGGTCGGGCTCGCCCTGCTGCTGGCTGCACACGGGCAGGCGGCTGGCAGCCACGGCGTGCAGCATAGCACTCACCGCCATGTCCTCGACCTCTGAGGGGTCAGTGTCTAGGGCCCTTGGCGCTCCTTCTGCTGCTTCTGCCTTGTCCTGCGGTCTGGATGGGACCGGCGTCCAGCTCAGCTCCCCCCAGTGCCCAGGACTGGGCTCTGTGCAGCCTGTGGGGAGAGGGAAGATCAGTCAGTCCGGGATGGGAGAGCGGATGGGGCAGTGGGTGAAAGGGACTGGGTGCTCACTCATTCACTCATTTTACATTTATTGAGCACCTACTATATTCTGGGCACTGTTCTAGGCCCTAGAGATACCACAGTAAGCAAGAGGTTGACAGTTTAGTGGGTAACGCAGGCATGTGAAAACATAGTTAGTGAAAACATATAGTGTGTTAGGTGGTTCCAAGAGCTGTGTAGGAAAATAAAAAGGGAAGGAGGAGGGAATGGGGGTGAGGCTGCAATTTTATTTATTTTTATTTATTTATTTTTAACATCTTTATTGGGGTATAATTGCTTTACAATGGTGTGTTAGTTTCTGCTTTGTAACAGAGTGAATCAGTTATACATATACATATGTTCCCATATCTCTTCCCTCTTTGTCTCCCTCCCTCCCACCCTCCCTATCCCACCCCTCCAGGCAGCCACAAAGAACCGGAGGCTGCAATTTTAAATGGACAGTCAGAGAAGGCCTTGCCAAAAAGGTGACATTTCAGTAGAGACCTGAGGTGGTGAGGGACTGAGCCACGAGATTTCTGTGGGAACTGGCAGAGGGAACAGCCAGTGCAAAGGCCCTGAGATAGTGTGCTTGGTGTATTTACTTGGTCCTTGACCACTTCATTCATTGATTCACTCAATTCTGCCTTTTCCCTTGCTCACGAAATCATCAATATTCACTAACGTGTTCACTCACTCACTCATTCATTCTCTCCTACTCATTTGCATATCCATCCAACCACTCTTCAGCAACTCTAATAAATCTATGCCGGGCCCTGAGCTGGGCAATGCTGAGGATCCCCGGAGGGATCCAGTTCAGCTCCCAGGGAGCACCCTGTCTGATGGGGGAAGACAGGCAAGGTCAGACAGCACAGGCACTGGTAACAGAAAAGCTGAGCGCTGGGCAAACCCTGGTGCAAGCTGCTTCTCAAAAGTGGTGGCAACTGGAGCAAGGCTACAGCAAGCAGGAAATAAGTGAAGACAGGAGGTACAGACAACTCCTTCAGCTTGGCTGGGGTGGGAAAGAGAAAGAGGGTGGTGGTTATAGGCACAACGGGTTTCAGGGAGGGTTTCAATGACTGAGGCAAGAGAAGACTGGGCTGGACCAGGTAAAGGGGCTGTGGAGGAGGGGACAGGAGGGGGTCGTGGTTAAAAAGACGCTTGGGAGGCCGAGGAGGACAAGTCATTGGAATGAAGGGCTGGGAGGTGAGGGAGGTATCCAATTAAGGTACAGGGCTCTGGCCAGGGGACTGGTCAAACTGCCCCTGACACAGAGACATGGATGAGGAGCAAGCCTGGGGGAAGATGCTGAGGCTGGTTTGGGACATGGATGGTATGACAGGCCCAGGAGACATCCAAGGGGAGGCATTTACAAGACTGCTGGTACATGGGAGACTTCTCAGGGGGAGAAGTGTTGCGCTGGGGACTGAGTTATGGGAGTCGTCAGAGCAAAGAACAGAAGTAATGCTGAAGGAAGTAAGAAGTCGTGGGGAGGGTGGGGGGGAGTGTGTAAGGTATGAGAAGAGAAGAGGGGCCAAGAAACAGTCCTGACTGGATGGGGAGAAGACATGTCTGTGAAGGAGGCTGTGAGAGGCTAAAAAATGGCCCCCAAAAGACAGTCACGTCTTAATTCCTGGAACCCGTGAATGTTACCTTACATGGCCAAAAAAAACGGTCTTGGCATATATGATTAAATTATGGATCCTGAGATAGGGGGATTATCTTGGATTATCCTGGTGGGCCCTAAACGCCATTACAAGTGTCCTATAAGAGAGAGATTTGATACACACAGAGGAGAACACAAGGTGAAGACAGACAGAAGCAGAGATTGGAGTGATGTGGCCACAAACCAAGGAATGCCAGCAGTCATCAGAAGCTGGAAAAGGTGAGGAATGGGTTCTCCCTTAGAGCCTCTGAGGGAGCTCTCCATGGCCCTGCTGACACCTTGATTTCAACCCAGTGATACTGACTTCAGACTTCTGGCTTCCAGAACTGTGAGAGAATAAATTTCTGTTGTTTTAAGCCACCCAGTTTGTGGTCATTTGTTACAACAGCCCCAGGAAACTAATACTGGCTGAGCAGGAGCCCGAGAGATAGGAAGGATATCAGAAGGGGTGGTGTCACAGAAACCAACAGAATATTTTCAAGAAGGATGGAGGGGTCAATGGCATTGAATTCTCCAAGTAGTCAAATAAGGAAAAAACTGAACAGGGTGACTCAGTTTACTACACAGGGAGGTCACTGCGGACCCCGATGGATGCAGTTTCTGAAGGTAAAAGCCAGACTGCAGTGGGTGGGTAGTGAGGAAATGGAGGCAAGTGTGCATGACTCTTTGCAGAAGATAAATGGTATCTGGAAGGAAGCATGGAACCAAGGGATAGATTTTCTTTTTAGGTTAAAGCTTTTTTCTTATTATTATGGAAACTTTCAAACATGAACATAAGTAGAAAGTACAATGACCTCCCCCCCCCGCCCCCCCATATATCCATCATCCAGCTTCAAAAATGACCAATTCTTGTCCAGTGATGTTTCAACCAACCTCTCAACAGCACCTCACCCCACACGGGATTACTCTGAAGCACCAGGATAGAATTCTTTTTCTTTTTTTTTTTTCTGTGGTAGGTACGCGGGCCTCTCTCTGTTGTGGCCTCTCCCGTTGTGGAGCACAGGCTCTGGACGCGCAGGCTCAGCGGCCATGGCTCACGGGCCCAGCCGCTCTGCGGCATGTGGGATCTTCCCGGACCGAGGCACGAACCCGTGTCCCCTGCATCGGCAGGCGGACTCTCAACCACTGCGCCACCAGGGAAGCCCCCAGGATAGAATTTTAAGATGAGCAAAACAAAAGCATTTTAGGTACTGATGGGGAGGCATCAGGAGAAATAAAGAGACTGAAAATGCAAAAGAGAGAGATGGGGGAGCACAGAAATGGATTAACGACCCTGAGGAAGCAGATGGGACTGTGGACTTTCGGAGAACGGGAATTCGAATGAAATGGGGGGAGCCGTTAGTATGGTCTAAGTAGAGTTTGCATGGGACAGGAGGAAGCAAGGGAAGGAGGTAACTTGAGAAGCACGGTTGGCTGGGACAATGGGAGAGCCCAGGACAGAGACGTTTATGCTAGCCTGAGAGCTTGGTAAGGAACTAGATTAGCCTAGGACACGGAAAGAGCCTGCTGGAACTTGGAAGAGGTTAATTTCGGGGGAGGGGATGGGGTAAAGGAGGTCAGCCTGCAACGAAAGGGGTTAATCTGACAAAGTGGTGAAGGGAACAGTTAGGGCCGAGGGCAGGTGTCCGCTTTTTTTTTGGTTCTGTTTTGTTTTGCGGTACGCGGGCCTCTCCCGTTGCGGAGCACAGGCTCCGGACGCGCAGGCTCAGCGGCCATGGCTCACGGGCCCAGCCGCTCCACGGCATGTGGGATCTTCCCGGACCGGGACACGAGCCCGTGTCCTCTGCACCGGCAGGCGGACTCTCAACCACTGCGCCACCAGGGAAGCCCAGGTGCCCCCTTTTAAAGAGTCCTCCTTCGCCTTCACGGGGAATCATTTCCCAGTGACACCGCAACTCCACCCTCCCGCCGCCTCCGCGTGGCCAGGACCTCACCTTCACCGGGTTCCGTCGCCGCCGTCGCAGTCGCTGTCGCTACGGCCTCCATCCCGATTCTCTACGACTCGTTACCTGCTGTGGCAGGCTCCGCACACCAAACCCGCCCCAGGTCCTCAGCAGCCACTTCCGGCCGAGCACACTCCCGGGGCCGGCTGCCCCGCAGCACCAGGAACCAAAGTTCCGGGACGAAGTTGGATTGTCCTACGCGCATGCGTGCTTCCGCCCGGCCCCGCCCACCCCAGGCAGGAAAAGGGCACAGGGTCAGATAGATTCTTCCGGCACGCCGCACCCCCGCAATTTGAACCGCTGCGAAACTGGACTATCAAGAGGGAAGGCTTGTTCACCCTGTGACTGCTGTGACTCCAGAGCCCAGCATGCTTAATTTGGGGATGAATGGTTTGAATGACCACCCTCCAGGGCCTCTGAGGGCTTGGGCTCTGGTTTAGACCCCAGGCTATCTTATTTCTTCACCACCTCAAGAATATTTACTAAGCCTTGTCGCTTGCTTCTGTCATCACACCCAGTCCCTGCTTAGCATGAGATAGGTGGTGAGATCAGAGACTCAACTTCCCACTTTGTGCTCCCAGGACCTGAAGAATCTTCAGGTGTGGAGAGACTTTGGTCCTGATTTGCCCTACGTGACGTGTAGGG